AGAAGGCTCCGCAAAAAGATCGCGGAAATCAACAGGGAAATAGAGAAACACAGCAAGGAGCTCGGCCGGCAGCAGTGGGAGCAAACGTGCAGAGAGGCGGACGGCCAACTCCATCTGGGCAAGACGTGGCGACTGCTCCGGCACCTCCTCGACGACACCCAGACCAAGGGAGAACAACAGTACAAGCTCAGCAGAATTATACACAAGGGGAAGCGGAGGTGAAGAGGAGACTCGACGCCAAATACCTCCCGGTTTCCCCAAAGGAAAAGCACCCAGAATACCAGGGGGCAGAGAACATCAAGGTTGACCAAGACATCGAGGAATGGGAGGTCCGAAATGCGATGCAAGACCTGAACAGGCGTTCGGCGTCGGGCCCGGACCGCGTCAGCAACAAAGCGCTCAGAAACTTGAACGACGCGGCCGTGACGGCACTGACGGCGTACTTCAATAAATGCTGGAGGGCCGGCAAGCTACCACGCCAGTGGAAGGAAGCCAAAACCATCCTCATTCCGAAACCAGGCAAGTCGCCCGACATCGAGAATCTACGCCCAATATCCTTAACATCGTGCGTGGGTAAACTGCTAGAGCACATCTTAATGACCAGATGGCAACAGTACCTCGAAGAGGCAGAGCTCTACCCGGATTCTCTCGTCGGCTTTCGAAGCAAGCTTAGAACGCAAGGCGCCATGCTCCAACTCAAGAAGGAGATAGTAGACTACGAAACTCACACCAGCGACAACAGGGCAATACTGGGCCTGGACCTGCAGAGCGCCTTCGACAAAGTCCGGCACTCTGCGATCCTCGCCCAAGTGTCGCACCTGAACATGGGACAGAGATCTTACAATTACATTCGGGATTTTCTGACCGACCGCACGACTCACATCTGCGCCGGGGATCTCCAACTACCAGAGAAAACGCTCGGCAGCGAGGGGACACCACAAGGCGCGGTAATCTCTCCGCTGCTCTTCAACTTAGTCATGATCGAAGTCGCCAACCGGCTGCGGAGCGTCGATGGGGTACGCCACACGGTTTATGCCGACGATGTGACGCTGTGGGTCACCGGCGGCAGCGACGGCCACATAGAGAATACACTACAAGAAGCAGTAAAAACGATAGAGGACCAACTGAAGGGATCGGGGCTGGTGTGTTCCCCCGCAAAGTCGGAGCTGATGGTGATTCCACCCAGGGGAGCGAGCCGCAAGAAGCAAACTATCCGAGACTGCGATAAAATCCGCATACGAACGCAAGGGGGGCACATCATCCCCGAGGTAGCCAAGATTAGAGTGCTGGGCATGATCATCGAACGCAGCAAAGTCAACGGGGCAACGGTCTCCAAGCTCGAAGCTAAGACCGGCACGGCACTGCGTCTCATACGCCGCGTCGCCAATAGAAGAAGCGGGATGAAGGAAGCAAGGCTCGTCAGACTGATTCAAGCCTTCGTGATGAGCCATATCACCTACGTCGCCGCCTTCCATAATTGGCGGCAGTGCGAGCGGAAGAAGATCGACGCGATGATCCGCAAAGCTTACAAATCAGCATTAGGACTCCTAGGATGCACGAGCACGCAGAAGCTCGAAGCCCTGGGACTCCACAATAGCCTGGAAGAGATCGCCGAGGCACAGCAGACGGCGCAGCTCACCAGACTGTCGGGAACCAGGACCGGCAGATCTATCCTCAAACAACTAGGCATCGGAGCCAAGGAAGACGACCACCGGATGCAGGAGCAGATACCGCGGGAGCTGGGCAAGCACATCGTCGTGAGCTCAATCCCGTGGAACATGACTCCCACATTCCATCAAGAAAGAAGAGAGGCGAGAGCCAAGGCGCTGATCGCGCTACACGCCGGCGATGAGGGAGCCGTGTTCGTGGACGCGGCCAGTTACAAGAACATCGGCGACGCCTTCAGCGTCAGCGTGATCGGAGCCAAAACGGGTGAGATCAGGATGGCGGCCAGCGTGCGAACCACTGTGCCCAGCCAGGCAGAAGAAGTGGCGGTAGCCCTCGCCATCGCGGACCCCAGAACGAAGACGGTGTTGTGCGGCTCGCGAACGGCAGTGCGCAACTTTGCGAAACAGCGAGTGTGCAGTGCGCCAGCGCGCATCCTGCGAAAGGCCGAAGTCAACGGAGTCATCACCAGTGCGGTGATAAAGTGGTTTCCCGCCCACGCGGGCGCGGAAGTGGCGGGCTCGCTGGGGCTCACCAACCACAACGAGACGGCCAACTCCGTGGCGCGTGGACTCGCCGGCCGCGCCCCGGTAACGGCCGCCGCCGACGTGGTGGATCGCCCCGAGAAGGACACCATGGACGCTTACAACGAGGTAACCCTGTGGTACCGGTTAGCCAGAAGAACGATGGCCCTGCCCCACCCCCGTCTGACGCGGGAGGAGGCGGTGGTATTCCGCCAGTTACAGACTAACTCCGTGATAACCCCAGTGTTAGCAAAGCACCTGTGGCCGGAGGTATACGTAACAGACTTATGCAGACTGTGCGGGAAGGAAAGGGCCACGTTGGCCCACATCCTGGAAGACTGCGAATGCGCGAACGCGGACAACAGTGCAGACGTTCTCCCGCCCCTCATGGAGGAGGCGAAGAGATCCGAAGACTACGACGTCCAACACACGGCCGTCCAGCAGATCCTAGCGGCACTCGAGAAGCAGCGACCGGACGGGATGGAAGCAGAAAGGGTTAACCCGAGTACGCTGAAGCCCGCCGCGAGCGGCTCTCCCCGCTAAGAAGACGTCCGGCCACGTCGCCCCAAGAACCCACCTGAGAGGGTGGGATGATAGGGGTTACTGCAGGAGACCCATTAAAGTTGCTCTCTCTCTCTCTCTCTTTCAATAAAACTGGATGGGCGATCACGATGATAAAGAGAGTTTAGCTGCTTCCACGTGACGTCTGCACGACCCTGTGCGGCTTTGAACATATATCGAAATGATAACGCTAGTCTCGCACGCCGTAGCTCTTTCGTTAAGTTGTTGCGATAGTTTTTGAATATTGATAGATCATTCTTGTCTCTTGACTGCGAATTTACCACATAAGACTTTTTTGTGTTCATTTTACAAAGTATCTCAGGAGTTATCCAAGGTTTTCTTATGCGTTTATTTGTTTTTATAAGTGTGAAAGGAAATTATGTCTTATACAAAGTTAGAAATAATTCAATAAAAGTGTTGTAAGCACCATCGGCACTAAGTTCGCAGAGTATACTATTCCAATCTGTCTTTGAGACAGCGATCTCGAAGGCGTCTAGTCGATCTAAAGTTATTTTTTTAGTCAGCGCCCGCTTCGTTTTGCAGATCTTTTTCGAGACGTTTTTAAGAGAAATAAATATAGGGATTTGGTCACTCAGATCACAACCAATGACACCGGCCTTTATATATTCAACAGAGCTATTCGAAATGAACAGATCTATTAGCGTTTCCGATAAAAGAGTAATACGTGTAGGCCTATTGATAACAATTGCACAGCCAATTGCACTGATTAGCGATTCTAAAGTCCTTTTTACAGCGGTATCAGCACACATATTAATGTTAAAATCCCCACCACATATTATAATGCAATTTTCTTTATTAACAAAACTAAAAAAGATCTTAAAAATGCAAAAAACGACTCCACGTTGCCCTTTGGTGGTCTGTAAACCGCTGCAAAAAATATGCTTATTATTACGTATACACAGCATTTCGTAATCCGGAGTGGTAACACTGTAATCACTTTTTAATTTACAAAGAATATACTTTGTCAGTATCGCTAAACCACCACCGCGTTTGTCAGTACGATTTATATAAAAAGAACGGTACGAAGGCAGTCTTAGTATACCAGTCTCTTCGGTGTACCATGTTTCAGTGGTACACCGAAACATGGTACACCGAAGAGCAGCAGATCCGCGTTTCACTGTACACCGCATAGTGAAACGCGGATCTGCTGCATCCGCGACCTGCGGAATCCTCTCCCATGATATGCGAATTCCCATCCTGTTCCCGTTTTTTGTTTTTTTTGTCCTATTGCGATTAACTTATTATATATTGATACCCTTGAAACTACAGTAGTTTGTAGCGGGTGCCTCCGTGTTCATAATTTATGTTTTGAAAACTTTTCTGGCGCATTCTCAGAGATCGGCCACCCCATATTTTGCCGCGTTTATCCCTTAATTTTGGGTGGGCGTTCTTATGGAATTTTACGGCTGTCGCCCACAGCTCGTGGGCAAATGTTAAACTAATTTATTCTTAAAGAGATCATAAAATTAATGTTGTATGTTTATAAATAGTGATAAAAATAATCCTGGATATTTATAGAGCAGAGGACAGGGGTCCGTTTTCGGTTTTGCATAAAACTAAAAGTATACAAAAATCTAGTGGATTTTTTTTTTACTAACCAACAAACCAAACGTTTAATTACAGTAAACCCCTTATTTTCGCAAATCAGTCAAATCGCGGCCAATTCGAATTCAATTCGAAAAATTTGCTAAAATTAAGGGCTCGCGAACATTTGAGGTTTTACAGCATGTCGTTTTGTCTTAATTGCTCAAATTCTTTTCGTCAGGGCGGCTGAATGTGGCTCGCTGATTGGACGCGAGCGCTGCGTCACCAGTTGGTTTGGGTTCGGCACCAACCATGCAGTCCGTGGTCCATTTAGTGTTTTGACAAAAACCGCCTAGCTTTTGGGTCGGGTGAACAGAATTTTCTCTAAGCGTTGCAGCCCATGTGTGTGGCTGTGATGGCTAATGGCGGCACGAGCTGGAGAAAAACAAAAACACGACAGCTAAAGAAAGAAAGAAAAAAAGCGTTCACAAAAATAATATAAAATTGCTCTCACTCACTTTCAAAAATTCATACTAAAAAATGTTTTATTTGGCTTTCTCATGGGTCAGTTTCTTTGTGTTCGCTAGGCAATATATGATTTGTAAAATTAGAAATCAGTCTTGTTGCGTGATTCCTTTAATAGCACGGAACACAGTCCCAAGGTTGCAGCGTCTGATCTTGACTTGGCGCTCTTCCTGTTCGCAGGGTACGGCCACTCCACACCGGCCACCTGGGGAGGCAAGACCTTCTGCATGTTCTACGCCCTGGTCGGTATCCCCCTGGGCCTGGTCATGTTCCAGAGCATCGGTGAGCGGCTCAACACCTTCGTCGGCTACCTGCTCAAGCACGGCAAGCGCTGCCTGCGCATGCGCAACACGGACGTGTCCGAGACCAACCTGGTCTGCCTGGTGTCCGTGCTCAGCACTGTGGTAATGACCACGGGTGCGGCCGCCTTTTCCGCCTACGAGGGCTGGGACTACTTCGACTCTTTCTACTACTGCTTCATCACGCTCACCACCATAGGATTTGGCGACTACGTGGCGCTCCAGAAGGAAGGCGCCCTCAAACAGAAGCCGGAGTACGTCGCCTTCAGTCTGGTCTTTATCCTGTTCGGCCTCTCGGTCGTCTCTGCCGCCATGAACCTCCTGGTGCTCCGCTTCCTCACCATGAACACCGAGGACGAGCGCCGGGACGAGGCCGAGGCCCAGTGCGCCGCCCAGGAAGCCGTGCGACTAGAAGGCGATGTCATCACCGCCAACGGTAGCGTCATCTCGGGCCACGGGGGAGGGGACCACTCGGACACGGACGACGTGACGTCCGTATGCTCGTGCACCTGCTACGCGCACGGGGGCGGCGGGGGCTCTAGGCAGGCCTCGCAGCAGCAGCAGAGGTACTCGCTGAGGTACTCGCCGTCCCCCGCCGAGTCGTCCACCGTCCACGACGACGTACTGCTGCCGCTGGATGCGCTTATGATGAAGAGGGCTTCTGTCTGAGTGGTCGCTGTCCGAAGGCGCCGCTGGCGTCGCCAACGCCGGAGCGACCGCCGCTCTTTACCGCTAGAAGACTGGATGACCTTGACCACCCTTTACGAGAGAACCGCACACGATTCGTTTAGAATTTCGGCCATCATTCCTTTGTTTGTAAGAGTAATTGAGTTTCTGTCTTACAACTATTGTTGGTAACATCCGTCTATGCTTGGAGGTAAAGCTAGCGTGTGGCCAACGCTGAAATGACTGCCGCTCTTTTACGCTAGAAGATTGGATGACCTTGTCGGCCCTACTTGACGGATCCGCGTGCGATTCGTTGATAATTACAGTTATATTTACTTTCCTTCGAGTCATTGGAATTTGTTTCTTACAGCATTTTCTGGCAACAAATCTCTTTACCGAGAGGCTGACAGCAAACGGCATTCCCCTCGGTAGTCTTCTTGGCAAGACCCTTCGAGTTGAAAATAGAGTATGTGCTTGTTTGCGCCAACATATTTGTATCTAAACATCTTCAAATGCCAACCTATTTTTATTGTAAGATTTGCTCCGCAGATTCGCTTATTTGACGGCCACAATCAAGGGTGCGCATTGTCTTGGAAATCGGTAGAACGCATCTCCGCATTAGTCGTTTGCTCTAAAAATGGCCTCAGGACAGGTCGTCTTACGAAACGCGCCGCAAGCCAGCGGTTCAATTCTTTCTCGTTATTCCTAAAACAAAAGCAAAAAAAAAAGTGTTTTTTTTTTTTTTTTTTTTTTTGTAATAATGGATGACCTCTGTGGTTTTTGTCTTTGATATCCTCCTTTTTTGGCACAGAAACCAAAGAGTTCGGTGGGCCGTGCATCGCCCAAACACAAGACGATAAACTGCATTGTGTACAGGCTTCGGTCTTCTGAGGTTTTTCACTTTCTGTCTTGAAGAAAAAAAGTACAAAGTAGCTTTAAATTAAATCAAATGCTTAGAAGTGGTTGTCACAAATAGATAAGATGGTAACATATTTTGTGACAAGATTGTGCGAGGTGTAAAACGTGAAAGTATTGAATACTTGCTCGGGATGATGAGCTTAAAGTTCAATAATGACAAAGAACCAAATGTTAAGTAACGAAAAAAAAACTTATAAATATTTTTTCCTTCTCTTTTGTTTATGAATATAAATGCAGTTTGCAGCAGTGAACGAGAGAAGTTCATGCAAATGAAACATGATCGAATATTTACGTCGTGGGTTGCAAGAGAACACCTTGTCATGAGTTTGTAATAACACCAGTGGCACTTTGCTGTTGTGATAGCATGTGGCGCGTGATAACGAGGATTACAGTCGCGGGCAGCTCGGGTAGCACAGAGTGGGGATTATAACGTTCGCGCTTCTTGCTTGGCAGTTCGTTCTTCTTTCTTTTTTTTTTTTTAATTGACTGATGTTACATTTTTATTGGCTGCGGACAGATAATATAAAATACTTGGGGTTCACCAAGCCCTGCCTTTATTAAGTTCTCAGTGACTATCTTATGAGTGGCACTTCTCGAGAGTTGTCCCGATTAATCCTTTTAAATGCAAAATAGCTCGATATCCCGTCCGCAGACTGCGCTCACAGTATTACGCGATCATCACAATGTATTAAATGGGGAGTTCATTACACGCAACATTACTTGGGGAGGCCGGGGGGGGGGGGGGGGGGGGGGGCAGGAAACCGTCTCCTGCGTGCCACATAAAAGATGCAGGGTGTGACGGTCATTCCCGTAATGGCGGGAGGTTTTCAATATTAAGGTCGCCACCAAATTGCGTCGACAAAATCTACCGTGCAGAGCCGCGCTGTGATGGCCCACTACTTTGCGGTAATGTGCGTGTGGACGTCCTCCGCCTCTTGGTTTCGTCCTGGGTTTTTCTTGATTTAATATAACCCCCCAAAGAAGGCGGTCTGGGTACGCTTTTATTCCCTCTAAGAAAAGAAGGATCCCAGTTAGTGACAAAGCTGAGAACTCACACACTTCTTCGTCATACTTCACTAGTATGCTTGTGTGCGAAGTGTATTGAGTTATTTTGGTTTGGATTTTCATCGGTGATTTGGTATAAAATTTATCTCGGGGAAAAATTTATAAACTTGCGAAATGAGACGAACGCACAACGATTTCCTTTTTGTGTGTGTGTGTGTGTGTTGGACGTTCAAAGGATAGTTATTTTATTTGTCAGAATATGAAAGGTTCTAAGTTTGCTCGTTTTGAAATATAATTTCAGTGGTAAATTTAGTTAAAATTTCTTTTTTTTACGCTTCTGTGTGTTCATTTTGACGAGCGGTACCCGACTTTTTTTGCCAAATGATAAATCAAACGAGCTATACAAAAGATGGGGACCGAAATTCCACGACCATCTTTTTCTCGGGTAAACATTATCACGATGTGATTTTGTATTGCATCTCGAATCGCCGGCCTTTGAAATAAAGTAAATAAAACTGTCTTCCCTAACGGTATTGCCATGTAAACATGCTAGCTGAAGCTACACCGAGTTGAGTTTCACTATTTCTAAAAATAAATAACACGCACAAATTAAAGCATCCGTGGGAAGCTTTGACCACCTCAAGAACTGTTCTAGCGAAATTCGATCACTGATTGTGTAAAGGACTTTTACACAACACGATGCATTTACTTTCCTCGCACGCACTAAGTTATCGGTCATACTTTGAAGGAATACACCTTTCAGGGTGCCGAGCGAATCTCGTCAAATCGATTTCTATGCCGAAGGTAGATAAACAGCGAAGTCACGAGCGCAGACAAGCGTAAAAGGAACTTAGTCAGACTGTCTAAAAGATATACATATTTAAAGACACTGGCTCACCTTCCTAAGGCAGGGGGGGTCGACCTTTAATATATATCGGCATTGACGTTTTCAGTGCAGCGATATTGATTTCAACAGCATTTACCCTCTTGCGACCCGGTCAGCACGTGTCAGCAGGTGTCATGCGGGGGTCACAAGGTTGTATCAGTATTGTACCTCCGCCACCGCGTTTTTGGGTTATGCGGAGCCGCATTTTATAGTCTCTTTAACTGCTAGGTACAATACGAAAAGTGCCAATTGAAAATGCCAGTGTATACTCTACCATGGGTCAGAAGATTATGATTATGATAATGTTATATTATCTTATTACCTGCCCTGTGATTGGCCGAGCGCCCTCCGCAGATTTCAGCGATTGGCCCTACAAAGTGCTTTGCGGGACATGCAGACGCTCCAAATTTCTTAGAGTGTGGTAAAATAATTGTATTATTTTAATTTTATTACATTATCTTTTTTTTTTTTTATTTATCCCAGCCGCCATGTTATACAGTCCATTCCTTGAGAGCCGATTTCAATATTCTCCCTGACACACTGTCAAATCACGGGAGGTAGTTGTGAATTATATAGTAACCGAGAACGTAAAGAACGCTGTGCGTGGTTTTTTATGTTCACACTTTCTACTTTGTGATTGGGTCTTTGGCACTGGTATCGTAAAATGCAGCAATCTCATTGGCTGTGGAGCGATAATGAGATGTTCGGGGCTATGCTAAGCATCAACATAATTTCGGATCTTCCACTTTTATGATAAAGATCGTGGGGATGTTGAAGCACATTAGGGGGAAAATGAGACTTTTAATCTGCGAATATAGCCTGGGATGAAGTGTACGATGTAGCACTGAGCTCGTCATTTCACGCGCTCATGCCAAGCCTAAATGCCATATCGCGGACTGCAGTTTTAGGTCCAAAACTTATTTTCGGCCTCGGCATTCGCAAAGCGTCCTTTGTAGATCACTGTAATTGGGTCTCTTAGTGATCTGCGGGAAATTAGACACACAAAGAATGTTTTAGAGTGGGCAATGATCCAAATACACTTGTCTACTTCGTTTACATTATTGTTCGCATTGCTTTACTGCAAATGTATGTTCTTGTATGATCCAACTATTGCATTTAGCGACTGAAGACTGAAAATGGAGAAGATAAAAGAAAGCAAACCAATGTAAGGAATTTAGAAAATACGCTAGAAACAAACGGGCTTACACCTTCGACGGCTTTAGTTCCCTTTTCTTGGTGACATAAGTGTGTGGTATTCTTCAAGCTGGTCGTCCTTGATGAAAGCGTGGAGAGCGGTTCTTTACGGTTGTGTCGTTCTTTGGACGTATCTGCATCAGCAGTACAAATATAGTGCACTGGGACTGTTTTAGCTTTTTTTTTTTCTTTTTATCTGCGGCAACAACGTCTGTGGGTGCATGTGCGTGTGTGCGTGTGTGCGTGTAGGACGCTTGTGTAGGGTGCTCAAAACTGCAGTCGCGGACCTCCAAGACGCACGTCACCAGATTCTACAACTGCCGACTGCGGTATCCCTTGTGTGTCGTGTGTTCTTTTGGGCTTTCAGAAGATTAACTTATCAGGTGGGGGCAGTCTGTCCTGAGTAGTAAGTAGGCAACGTTAGTAGACCAGTTCAGTTGCGTCACTCCCGCGAAAAAGCAAACTCCTTTTCCCCCTCTAAAGTTCCGCCACCCTCTGTTTGAAGCGCCATCTAGAGGCTGTGCTTGAAAACCTGTGCGTTCTACGGAGTAAACTAGCTGCTTTAACAGTCATTTCCCCTCACCTGGCGCTTTGAGTGAAGGGAGGCAGACCTTTGTGCGAGAAAGAATGGGGAGGGGGACGGGGGTATATTCGCGTGGAAGCAGCGTTCATGGTCTGGTAACGTTGGTAGTAGGTTAACCCTCTGTATTGTAGTATTGCTGATCACACATGAGGTAGAACGGGCCCCACATCGTAATACGATCTCGATCGTAATGTAAGTGGCTAGTCAAAACATTTTGTTTAAGGTAGTATTGGATTTTTTTTTTGGTGCTTGTATGGCCATAAAACAAAACGATTGGCCGCCTCCTAGAGCACAAGAACTGCCAATAGCGGGTCATTAAGATATTGGGAAAATGAAACAGGATCGGCTAAATGCCACTGTCACGTGGTGCTGCGAGTACTAGATTCTGGGTCATTATGTTACACTTGATTAGCATTTTACCTACCTTGTAGATCACACCTATCTACAGCCCCCCCCCCCCTCCCCCCTTTTTTTCGTATTGTTTATTATTTCACCAACCGT